AGAATAGTAATATCTCAACAAATTGTGAAAGTAGGTGAAGTTTTCCATTGACCTCTGTACAACTCTAATGTTTTAACATGCTTTTCTTTTGCTTCCAGGACATGATTAAAATACAATGAGGCATTTGCTGTAATTAGAGACATACACAGGGGTAAGATGGGGAACAAAGAGATAGTTCATATCAATGTATGACATATGTGTGCCCTATCATGAATTCTCAGAGTTAACTGTGTTTAAGAAATTAAATATGTTTTAAACTACATTAATTTTAAATTTATATCAGCTTAATTTGAAATGGGGATAAAGTGAAAATTCAGGCATAGTGAGTAAAGATAGTTTGGGGAGAAGGGAAGGTTTCTTATGGTGAGTTTGCCTTGCCTTGAGTTCTGTCCCTAGAATTATCTACTGTCAAGAAATTTGTTTTTCTTCTTTAGATGCGGAAAACTGGGATTTTATTATAGTCTGTCTAAACCTGTGCTTCTCTCATTTTATAAAATTCAGCTCTATTGGATAGAAGTTAAAAATGATCTATTTTTAATTCAATCTAAGAAAGTACTTTACAAAAGTAATCACTAACATCTAATGGTAGAGTGAACCTCTCATCATTTCTGTTCATCTGAGTCTGGTACATTGTTGGAATGAAGGCTGTTGTAGGAGGTATTATTGAATGTTTGGGAGGTATTCTTTAGCTCTTGAGATTTCAAAGACTATAAAATGCAAATGTCTTGTAGTATAACATCCACCATTAGCCAGTGTTTGATTATTTTATGTTGTAGTATTGCTGTGGTATTGGCAATAATTTGTCAAAATTTGACCTTGTTGCAACTTCATTTGTAAAATTCTGCAGTTTTCTGCTTCTTATTGCCCTGATCACCAATCAATCAGGATTACTGAATAGGACAGATGTAAAAGATCAGAAAGATTTTTATAAGAAACAGAATTCATTCAAAGAATAATAATTACATGTAGCCAAGGTTCTTCAAGGACTTGTTGGTTTATTATACTTTTAACATAGGGAAATTAACTGAGTAATTTTCTTTACTTAACATGTATTAAAGACCTGAACATAGACTTAGAAGATACCTTAATTAAATTAGGTTTGTCTTTTATTGATTGGCTGAAAAATATTCTTCTAAAAAGGATGTGTAGGTTGAGAAATCTATAGTGAATTCTGCAATGAAATGATATGTTTTTAAAGACTGTGAAGATTCATTTAGATATTATTTTAGGTCACAACAATGTCCTCTACTTTTGTCTCTTAGATGGAAGAACAAAACAACGTCAGCAATACTGATTTTTATGTAAAATAGTACTTGTCATAAGCAAGGTAACACGAAAACTCCTTTGTGAACACTCTTGATAGAATCCTAAGGTTATACACTGAAAGACGTATCTTAGATTGCATAGTTGGCTATAGGCTATGCATTAAAGCCATCAAGGGAATATCCTTTCTGTAATTTAGATTGGCCATTATTAGAAGAGATCAAAGCTGTCAATGGAACAATTGAAAATTGAACCAAAACCAAAACTAAACTTAAGCAAAACTTTTCATTCTTAAAAGTACATTTAAGAGAAAATTTTTGCAATAGTCTTTGAGTCCTTTCTTAAATCATGTCTTGTATATTTTAGCTGAATAGCTGAGAAAATGAGACAGTGTTCACACTTACAGAAAGGAGATGAAATAAAATAAATTCATATATTTATGTGTCATATAAGAGTAACATACTTCGATTTGAAAAGAAGTTTGAATAATACACTTTTAATTAATACAGTTTGAATAATTATTTTTCCAAAGCAAAATGACTTTTAGAAAATAAGAGAATAGGAGGCACTTTATTTTTGTACTGGGGATTGAACTCAGGACCTCACGCTTGCCAGGCAGGCACTTGTGCCAATGAGTTAAATCCCCAGCATAGAGGTGCTTTTTGTAAATGATTTATAATAAAGGAAAACATAGACTAAGACCACAGTTGACTGTATTGGGAAACAGATTTCAAGCAGGCAATTTGAATCATGTTTAGTAAAAGAACTATCTAGAAATGTGCTACGTTTCACAAAACATACTCTATTTCTTCAATCAACAAGGATGGTGGTTTTTATATAAAACTATCAACTTTTTCTCCAGGTTTTAGTCAATAAATACATAAGATTTCTTTTTAGCAATATGGCTAATTCAACCAGAGGACATTCAATATGTAAATTGTCCTTTATCTACCACTTCTAATTGCTTATAATTTCCTATGTTGACTAGAAATTGTTTTGATACTATGTGATTAGTATGCATTAGTGATTTTAATAGTATAGAAAACCTTAGAGAATATAATTGAACTTAAGTGCTTCTATAAATAATTAAATTTGTTATAATTAATTCCTTTGAGGCTTTCAGTATAATCATCTTTATTTGAATATTAAACTTTTCTGAAGATACATGAAAGAATTAGAAATATTTTTTGATTATAAATATGTATGAAATTCACTATTTTGACTATGTACAAATACTATGCTAAATTACTAGGACAGTCTTTTGAAAGATTTCCATTATTCTCAAGAATAATTCATATATACATTTTTGTATTAAGCATACAGAGGAGTATAGTCTGTTTTTTTTACTTTAAAGATAGTAAAATACAACAAAACAAGACAGAATAAAGCCAATCAAGACAATGCAGTGAAACTGATATAGAACTTCAGAGCAAGATATCAGGATAACAATAATAGGTGCCATAGTATATCTTGTTATCTTCACAATAGTCCATTCAATCAGGTATAGCAAGATCAAACCAAAAACAGTAATCAAAAAAGGATATTGAATAGGGCAAAACAATTAATCAGAGCAAAGCAAGACTGTGAAAGCAATGTTGACCTTCAAAAACAAGATAGAAAGAGATCCCACATATCTGCTATATTGCATACTGTCATCCTCCAAGAGATGCTCAGACCTCTGGCCCCAGGTCAGCATAATCAAACCAACAATACAAGCATTTAGTTGCTTTATGCTCCTTAGTTGCTATCAATTCCAGATGTCCTTGAAACCATTCAGTTGCCAATGGGGCGGGGGACTGGACTTTTGATTCTCAGCCTCTGCTGGTAGGCTCACGGTAGACACTGACAGTGGAGAGTGTAGTCTTACAACATAACATATGAAGAACAGTAGGGCTTCTAAACTCTACTCTTTTTTTTTTGTTTAAACAAATTATATTATTAAACTAAAAATTGGAGCATGTCAAGATAAGAGTTAATGAGGATAGTACTTTGCATGTGTGTCAGGAATACAGTTGATTATCTCTCTCTCTGCATCTGTGTATCTCTGTTTCTCTCTTTCGCTGTCTCTCTGGCTCTCTCTGAATGTGTATCAGGTATACAGTTTAGAAGAGCCTTGGTGAAGCACTGTGCTTTTCATTCACCTGTAGGTGCAGACAGAGACCATGAATATCTTTGAGTGTACACAGTAACACATTTATAGACCTTGAGGGCATATTCAATAGAGTGGGAAAAGTGGATTAGCGAAGAGGTGCTGATTTTATGCAACTAGGCCAAGGGTAGGTGAGAAAGGTGGAGGAGAATGGTGGCAGACTCAGGGGAGGAAATTCAGAGGGAACATGAACTCTATCCTGAGACCACGATATATCCCTTAGGAGTTGGAGACAGCTCTAGGAAAGAGAATAACTCTCCATCCTAGAATCATTAAAATTAAGTAGAGAAAATGAAAGAATTGACCCCGAATAACAGCGATATCGTGAAATATCCATCTGTCCATCTATAGCCAATTATTCCATTAAAAATGGTCCTTATTTATAATAATAAATAGAAAAAAGCATAATACTATTGCATTTTTGTTTTCATGGGCATCATAAGGATATCAGTGTGTTTTTGAGGGGCCAATTTTTATTTTTTCTTAGCTTGAAAATTTTTAAAACTGTGGAAGAAAATAGGTAGAAGATAAGCTAGAAAGTTTTTACATTGTTAGATACATGTTTCTGGGGACTGCAGGATTAAAAAACTTTTTTTAATTTAAGAGTTTTTGTTTTTTAAAATAGGTCAAAGTGTAATAGGAGAGCTGTATTTTTTTTAAAAATTTTCTATGTAACCTTCACTGAGGACTTTCAGTAAATACTTGCTAATTGATTACTGATGAATAGGTAATATTAATAGGTTAATACTTAAACCTGTATGATTTTTATCTCAATCAACATATTTTTCAGGTACAACCATTTTTCTACAAATGTCTCAAATTGACTCTTACAGATTATATTAATGTCCTGAAGAATGATTTATAATTATTATTTTTTTCTTATTTGTCTTGCCTGCATATCAATGCCTTCTGAGGGTTTTCTTTTTTCTTTTTGGAACACCTAATTTATATTAATTTCTTTTCTATGTAAGAAAGTAATTTTAGGGGCAGGGATTTAGCTCAGTGGCATAAACACCTGCCTGGCAGGCACAAGGTCTTGAGTTCAATTCCCCGTACCAAAAAAACCCAAAACCAAACCAAAACAAAAAAATACCAGACCAACAGCAACAACAAAAAAGCAATTTTCCCCTTTCTGCAAAACCCTAAAATAAACAACCTCAAAGCTAGCAGAGATATTTCATATCTTCCAAAGTTCTACCTGACTTCTCATCCAAGTCATCGTTAATAAAAACATGTGTGTGCTAGTTTAGTGCCATGATTTCATGGAAATCAAAGGACTGCATACTGCAGGATGTCCCATCAAATTGGCAGTTCTTTGTATGTAAGATTATCGATCAAATACAAACCCATTTGATGGGTTTTCAGTTTAGTTATTAATTTACTAGCATAGATTAATTTGTTAGTGTACCTAAGCAATTATGTTGTTTCTCTGATGATGGATTTGTCACCCTTATCCTCTGAGGGCTATAGTTTATATCAGGAAAAGGTACTGAATAATACAAATTTCACCTACTTCATAACTTTTTGAGTTCTCTTTTAAATATATTTTCTTTACTAATAAGCATTATTTTTGTGTATTTGCACATAGGCAACATGTCGGCTGAAACACCAATTACACTCAATATCAACCCTCAGGATCTGAAGGTCCAAACATTTACTGTAGAGAAACTACTGGAGCCACTCATAATCCAGGTATGAAAACCTTGGACGTTCTGGGCAGTTACTGCAGAAAGTTAAAAAGCACGGGAAAAATAATCCAAGGAAAGACTTGAGCTTTTAAAATTTTAACAACAAAACCAGAAAAAATAAAGATGATGATATGGACTTTCAAAACAAAATAATAGGCGATTAACACTGAATAATACATTGCGTTTTGTCTTCAGAGTAGTTCAGATTACAAAATATAAGCATTAAAAAATGATCAAACAATTGAACAACGAAAGCACAAACTGTTCCTTTTGACAAGCTAACAGAGATTAGTAGTATAGTTAATTATCTTGTATATATATGTGTGTATATATATATTTCCCTTGTTTCTTTTCTCCTTTGCCCTATCCCAGTTATTCTTTCCTTTTGAGCAGTGTTCTTCCCTTCCACTTTCACAATATCTATTGTACATTTTGGATCCTACTGACTCTTTCAGTTTTTTACACTAGGGAAACAATATGATATTTATATACATGATCTGATTTATTTCACTTATGAGTATGGTCTCAATTTGCTTCAATTTACCTATAAAAGTCTCAAATTTATCCTTCTTTATAGCTGAGTAATACTCCATTATACTTTATAGCTGAGTAATACATCCATATCTTCTTTTATCTATTCTGCAGTTGATGGGCATTTGGGTTGTTTCCAAATTTAGCTATTACAAATTGTGCTGCTATAAGCATGGGTGCACATATATTGCTGTAACAATATTTTCAGTTCTTCTTAGAAAATATGCAGAATTGGAATAGCTGGACTGGAATAGCTGGATCCAATCTCAGTTTTTTGAGGAATCTCCACACTGATTTCCACAGTGGTTGCACTAGTCTACACTTCCACCAGTAGGGAAGAAGGGTTCCTTTTTCCCTGCAGCTCCTCCAGCATTTGTTAATATTTGATTTCTTGGTGACAACTATTTGGAAAGACTTGATTTTTATATATGAATGTGTCTTCTAAAATGGTCCTTTAATTAAAATGTTAAAAGTGAAAATATGTGTTTAGTATTAATAATAAAATTCTGAAAGATTATCCTAGATTCTTTTTTAACAAGAGCAATATAAATATGTACATATAATTTTCATAGTATTTTATATAGTTTATCTTGCTTGGTAGTCATAAGAATAAGGCAAGAAGTATGATTAAAGCTATATTTATTATATAAAGAACTCCAGTGACTTGCTCCAAGGGAAATGGCGGTTCTTTTGTAAAATAGGAAACTATGTTTAAAAATACTGAAATGTGTGAGAACAGGAGCTATTTTTGATAAAGTCTTTGTAAAGTGAGCAATCTTTTAATCATGTACACTATGATTATCTGATCCAGATTTCATGTATTATATTTTCTTAAAGCAGAGTTTGAAGAAACTGATACAATGGTAAACATTTAAATTTTTATCCATAACTCCAAATTCATGAGGCAATCCCCCCTTCTAATCTACCTTGTATCATACTTTCTAAGTTGTTTTCTAGACTCAAAGCACTTAAGGTTTACTTGGGTAAGAAACTACATTGACTTTGATCTGATCATTTAAAAATGTTCTGCTTGTATTCTCTGTGAGATAAAAGCAGGAAGAGGCGTTCCTCTGAGAATTGACTTTGTACATCACTTTACTTGGGATATATTGAGATCTGCTATTGGAAAGACAATTCAAAACATGTTCTTCACTGATGATACTTTCATTAACTTTGGCAGTCTAAGATATTAATACTGATAAGAAATTAATATTTATAACTATTGAGATACCATTAAAACATCAGTCTAGCTATTCATAGGATGGTTTCATGTTAAAAAAGTAGAAAATAGGGGCTGGGGATTTAGCTCAGCGGCATAAGCGCCTGCCTTGCAAGCAGGCAGTCGTGAGTTCGATCCCCGGTACCGATAAAAAGGAAAAAGACAAAAAAAAAAAAGTAGAAAATAAAAAGCCTTTATTTATTGTTTTCCTGAGAGAGTTCTTTGAAAAAATTGGAAAACACTAACAGACAACCTGAGGGGTAGAGGTGGAGAAAGAGAATACAAAAACTCTAAATTTTACCACTAAGTACTAACTATTAATGTTTTGATGCATTTATTTTTAATATGGTAAAATTACAGCTTTTTCTTAACTTTTTAGTACTTTACAATGTAAATAATATATATTCTTCATATAAAAATTAAAATACACATGTAAACAAGGCAGAGAGAGTACTATATGTAAACTTTAGCCTACTATTCCATTTAGGATGATATTTTGATAATTTCCTCATTCTTTATAAGAACAATTTAATAAAATTACTACTCAGTTATATATCATATGACCTTATCACTTTTTTTTATAGTAGTCTTTCATTTTTTGGATGTTTAGGTAATATACATATAAGACTATATGGCCTGCCTGGCGGGTGCAAGGTTGTGAGTTTGATCCCCGGTACAAATAACAAAACAAAACAAAACAAAACAAAAAAAGAGTATATGAATTGATATTATAAAAATTGGTTTGCTGAACATCTTTGCACATAAATTTTGTCATCAATTTGGTTTAATTTTCTAAATTAATTACTCAATGTAAAAAAGGTGAGCAATATATGAGATTTTTATGCTTTTTCATACATATCACCAAGCTTCTTTGGAAAATTTTAAATAAGATATCACAGCTCATTTAAGATTTTTTTCCTGTACAACTATTGGGAGATGGAGTATGAAAATGGCCTTCATTTTGGAAATGGTTGCTACTTTAATGCTATTGCATAACACTTATTTGTTCTATAACAATGCTACATGTGAGTTGGTCACTTAAGACTTGTTGATCACAAAAGATGATGACCTGTTGTTTATGAATGGAGCAATTATTGTTGGAAAACTACTTTTTACATTGCAACAGAAACTAATAGATCTTTTGGTTTAGTCAAGTACATTGGTGAAAGTATACTTGGCATGGTATATGTGTGTGTGTTTTCTGGCATGTTTGAAAACTATTATTTCCCCATCTATAAACATTTATTGATGCCACCTTAAAAAATTAAAAGGATAAAAATAATGAAATAATTTTTATTTGATTTGGAAGAAATGCAAAATTTAGAGAAAGTGTGTTTATGCTAATCTTAGGAGCTTTTGATGTATTATCTAGATTTAGAGATTTTATGATTAGCAAACAGATGAGTCAGGCAAAGGGAAATAAGTACCTATTTTATGCCAAATAGTTCTCTGTTAAATGCTAATGTAAAGTTAATTTTATCTTCCTTGATTGTTATCAGTGTTCTTGAAAATATTTGTTGATTTTTTAAAAGTGGCTTGGCATGTTGCTTTATCAATATCCAAACTACAAAAAAGTCTGTAGATATTGGCTATTTCCAAGTCATATGAAATTAATAACATTAATAATTTATTGAATATCTATAATGTGTAAGAACTATGCCGTAAAGCAGAATATTAGTATAACAAAATTATATAGATACACACTTGAGTTTTTAAATAATAGGGTTCTCCATATCAAAAATGTGTACATTTCAAATCAGAGTTATTTTTTTTAAAGAGAAAAAAAGAAAGGAAATAAAATAAAATAAACAAAGCAGTAAAAGGGTACAAATAATATGGAATTGCAAGAAAAAAATACAGTAAGATATCACTAGTTAATAGGTTACATATTGTCATCTTTGAAACAGTTGTCCAAATTATAAAATTAAAGCATATAAAGTGAACATTCATACAATGAGATTGCAGACAGTGCTGATCAATGATCCAGCAAAAGTTCAGTAATATGGATTTCCATCCTACACACTCAAACATACATGCAGTTATATCCCTTAGACCACCTTCCTTTCCTCTCTTTTTAATAACAATTACACTTTTTGGGTTTTTTTACTCCCACAATTCTTATTATTTTTTTGGAGAGAATAAAACTTAACGTGACTAAACAAAACAGAGTCGGTTAGAACAGAAGGATGGGCATAGTACATGATGCAAAAATAGAATACCAGGTGATCAAAAATGGTTACCATTGTGCCTCTTGCTATTTTAAAAAAGTTGCCTATATCATCAGGTATCATAGAATTGATCAAAACAGTACAGAACAAGACCAGTAAAACCTACACTGGAGACCTTACAGGATTTCAAAAGAAGATAATAGTCAAACCATAACGGACATCATAGTGAATCTTATTGCCTTCAAAGTGGTTGCCTATACCCTCAAACTTGATACTATCAAACAAAATAGAATATAGTAAAATCTGACAGAACAAGATGAGGAGAGCAATACTGGGGTTCATATCAGATTAATAGGAAAACACAAAAGTTATTATAATATATCCCACTATTTTTTAATTGTTTTCCCTTAATTGAAAAAAAAATAAAAAAAATAGATTAATTTTAAAAAGGGTGGAATTGAGGTAAAAGAGGACATTGTATTAGAACAACACAGGTCAGAACCGAACAATTTAAGCATCATTGTGTTTCACCCCCAGATTATTATTATTAGATTTAACATAATAGTAGTCACCATAGTGCCTCCTTCCTTGAATTGAGTATAACTTCATATACTATAGCATCAAGCATATCAAGACAGTTTGAACCTATTCAAGAGAATGAGGAAATTACAGGGTCTTTAGAACCAGTTAACAGAAAACGAACAATGGTTTTTATATTATCTCTTTGCCTATAAAAAATTTTGTTTATACTATCGCATATAGTAAAATATAGTAAGATACAATATGTTCAAACCAGTGGAAAAAGGTGTACAACACCTTGATGGGACTTCAAAACAAGATGATATTAAATCAGTACTAGCTTTTATGATGTGTTGTTTTCTTCAGAAGAGCTATTTGTGCTATCACCGATACTAAAAATCTAACAACCCAGGTTAAAACCATTGCAATTAGTGAGTGATAACATTATATGGATTCAAACCAGTATGATTGGGAATCATGATTACCACATACTTTTATGTATTCTTATCATTTCTTACACTAGGGAAACTATGCAGTATTTATACATGTGAGTTTGATTTATTTCAC